TTTCTACTGTTTTGATAAGATCCAATTGCTTACAGCGTCACACTAAAGGAATAATTAACTTGAAAGTGAAATAGTATAAACACAGTAAATAACTGGAGAACATGATGTTTTATGATAGTTATTTTTTCTATGTCCTTTCTTCAATGACTTTTTTCCGTCCACCATTTGTTCAAGGTCACGTGAATCAATCAGAGATAGATATTATCACATGAGGTAGGGTAAATGTGCAATGGACGTGCTTATGAACCTTGAACTTGCAGTTACATTTAATTATTTGTGTACAGATATTGGTCTAGAATAATTTATCAATTCGTTTAGTCTTGAAAATGAATTGATGTAGGGACTCCATTATGTTCTTGTTGACATTGTTGGTAGCTAGAGGTGTTCTTAATTTTCACAGTTTGGAGTGAGTGAGCGAGTGAGTTTAGTTTTAGGCTGCACTCAGCAATATTCCAGCTATATGGCGGCTGTCTGTAAATATTCGAGTCTGGACCAGACGATCCAGTGATCAACAAATTGAGCATCGATTTGAGCAGTTGGATGAGTGAGTTTAGTTTTAGGCTGCACTCAGCATATTCCAACTATATGGCAGCGGTCTGTAAATAATCGAGCCTGGACCAGACAATCCAGTGATCAACAGCATGAGCATCGATCAGCGCAATTGGGAACCGATGACATGTGTCAACCAAGTCAGCAAGCCTGACCACCCGATCCCGTTAGTCGCCTCTTACGACAAGCATGGGTTACTGAAGACCAATTCTAACCCGGATCTTCACGGGTTCGGCGCAACCGGGAACCGATGACACGTGTCAACCAAGCCAGCGAGCCTGACCACCCGATCTCGTTAGTCGCCTCTTACGACAAGCATGGGTTACTGAAGATCAATTCTAACCCGGATCTTCACGGGTTCGGCACGACCGGGAACCGATGACACGTGTCAACCAAGCCAGCGAGCCTGACCACCCGATCCCGTTGGTCACCTCTTACGATAAGCATGGGTTATTGAAGGCCAATTCTAACCCGGACCTTCACGGGTTTCACAGTTTTGTCTTCTTGAGAGGGCACGTAAGTCTCACAACATTTGAAGTAAATTTAGATATACCAGGTTTATAATAGTAGGATACTTGTGTTTTTAAGTGATGGCTAAATTTGTGCCCAACCGCCACCGTATGAAGGGACCATGTAAGTCCTTCTAGGGTGGGTGGGGTGAAGGGGTGGTATGGGAGAATTGAGGGGGGGCAAGGCAGGCTGAGCGAGTGTAGTAATTGAGGGGCTATGGGAAGCCTTGACCGTGGAGTTTGTTATGGTTGGTGCTGAGAGGCGGCGGGAGTCGGTGGTGGCTGGAGGCGCGCGGACCTCGGAGGAGACAGTAGTTGTTGGCAGGTAGAGTTGGTGTGAAATAATGAAGGAAAAGAGAGGCGCGCGGACCTCTGAGAAGACAGGTGGTAGGAGAGAGAGGTGAAGTTATAGATGGCTTGATGAGTGAGCAGAAAGTGGATCGAGATTGCTAGGTTGAGAGGTGGGCGCGGACGTCGGAGAGGACAGTCACGCACATATGGTGAATTTGGAGTGACTACATACCTATCACATGTTTAAGTGGCATTTAGAAGGTGGTGTGATGAACCACAAGGAGAGTTCTATGGATATACACCTTCTTTAATATGATATGAGCGACGTTTCGGTGTAGCTACTAACACCGTTATCAAGCAAATGATATCATATAGAACTCTCCTTGCTGTACATACCTATCCGTGAAACAATTAAGTAACGAAACAATAGGGGAGAGCTTCCAATGCAACTGATAGCTCATGCGGGGAATTAATGACAGATGGTCGGATTGGGATGTGCTGATAGAAAGCCACTTTTAAGAGAACAAGAGTTGAAAATGGATTAAGTCAAAGTAAGTCAAAATGAGTTGAAATTTGTGTCATGTTGCTTATAAATATACACTCATTCATTTATAACCTCCAAAACATGAATTCTGATCGAAATAAAACATTCTCGCCCATGGGCCAACATATTTTCGCCCATGGGCGAGATTTTTTAATATCGCTCTAAGTTAGTCGAATTAAGTCAAAAGGAGTTGAAATTTGTGACATGATGCTTATAAACATACACTCATTCATTTACAACCTTCAAAACATGGAAAAACATGTATTTTGAGTAAAAGTAAATATTCTTGCCCATGGGCCAAAATGTTTTTCGCCCATGGGCGAGATTTTTTAATATCGCTCTAAGTTAGTCAAATTAAGTCAAAATGAGTTGAAATTTGTGACATGATGCTTATAAATATACACTCATTCATTTATTACCTCCAAAACATGAATTCTGATCGAAATTAAACATTCTCGCCCATGGGCCAACATATTTTCGCCCATGGGCGAGATTTTTTAATATCGCTCTAAGTTAGTCGAATTAAGTCAAAAGGAGTTGAAATTTGTGACATGATGCTTATAAACATACACTCATTCATTTACAACATCCAAAACATGGAAAAACATGTATTTTGAGTAAAAGTAAATATTCTCGCCCATGGGCCAAAATGTTTTTCGCCCATGGGCGAGATTTTTAATATCGCTCTAAGTTAGTCGAATTAAGTCAAAATGAGTTGAAATTTGTGTCATGATTCTTATAAACATACACCCATTCATTTACAACCTCCAAAACATGAATTCTGATCGAAATGCTACATTCTCGCCCATGGGCCAACATATTTTTCGCCCATGGGCGAGATTTTTAATATCGCCCTAAGTTAGTCGAATTAAGTCAAAATGAGTTGAAATTTGTTTCATGATACCCATAAGTATACACGCATTCATTTACAAAATCCAAAACATGGAAAAACATGTATTTTGAGTAAAAGTCAATATTCTCGCCCATGGGCCAACATATCTTTCGCCCATGGGCGAGATTTCTAAATATTGTTCTAAGTTAGTCGAATTAAGTCAAAATGAGTTGAAATTTGTGACATGATGCTTATAAACATACACTCATTCATTTACGACCTTCAAAACATGGAAAAACATGTATTTTGAGTAAAAGGAAATATTCTCGCCCATGGGCCAACATATTTTTCGCCCATTGGCGAGATTTTTTAATATCGCTCTAAGTTAGTCAAATTAAGTCAAAATGAGTTGAAATTTGTGTCATGATGCTTATAAACATACATTCATTCATTTATAACCTCCAAAACATGAATTCTGATCGAAATTAAACATTCTCGCCCATGGGCCAACATATTTTTCGCCCATGGGCGAGATTTTTTAATATCGCTCTAATTTAATCGATTTAAGTCAATATGAGTTGAAATTTGTGTCATGATGCTTATAAACATACACTCATTCATTTACAACCTCCAAAACATGAATTCTGATCGAAATGAAACATTCTCGCCCATGGGCAACTGTTCGCCCATGGGCAGGCCCATGGGCGAGCGAGTTTAAATTTAAAGTTTTCGAAAAAAAAATTATTCATTTTTTCATCCTTGGCATATGTTCATAACAACTGCATGTTTAATTTGGTCAAATCCCTTGTCAGAAAGTGCCCACAGTGCGGAGAGTTTCTGGACTTTTGTGAGTCCAGAATTAAATTGTGACGTGTTTAAATATAATACCTATAAATCCTTATATACAGATGGATCCAAGGATGGTGGCGCGGTTGCTTGTGCCACTGTCATTGGGTCCAAAACAATATCTTCCAGACTACCCAATGACAGTTCAATTTTCACAGCAGAAGCAAACGCAATACTAACGGCTCTTAAATATATTAATAAACACCGTAAATATAAACAATATATCATCTTTTCAGATTCTCTTTCGTGTCTTCAAGCTATTAAAAATCTTTCTTGCAAACATCCACTTTTATTAGAAATTATTGAATTGTATAATGAACTTGCTCCTGGCCAATGCGACATCGTCTTTTGTTGGATACCCAGCCACGTTGGCATTTCTGGAAACACAATGGCTGATATTGCTGCCAAGGCAGCACTCAACAAATCTGTGACACCACTTCTGATCCCATACTCTGATTACAAAGCTGCTATAAGATCTTATATCCGTGATCTGATGCAAAAGAAGTGGGACACCCAAGTAGGTATCAATAAATTACATGCAATAAAACCCTATATCGGTTACACTTACTTGGGTTGTCAGTCCAGATTTGAAGAGGTCATTTTGCTACGATGTCGTATTGGCCACACTAGATATACGCATGAGTACCTATTAAAAGGTGAGGATCCTCCGTTTTGTATCCCTTGTGATGAACGAATCACGGTCAAGCATGTCTTGCTTGACTGTGTTGAGTACTCCATCACAAGGGATATCTATTTCAAATCCCGAACTATGAAGGATCTTTTTACTAATATAAGTCCTCATTTAATTATTGCTTTTTTAAAAGAATTAAATTTGTTAACAGATTTGTAAATAGCTAAATATTTTATGATTGGAAGTTTGAATTAGTAACATAGATTGTTAGTGGCTCGAGGGGGGTTAAACTACTGTAAAATTATTGTCCTCCTGAGAGGGTACGTAAGTCCCAAAACATTCAAAGTAAATTTCAACTTTCCGTTTTTTAATCGTAGAATATTTGAAATTTTAATGTATGGCTAGATATGTCTTAATTACTAACGGCTGAGGGGATGATATAAATCCAGCTAGGGCCCATGCAGGAAGCAAATGTACTGTAAGTCCCCATGGTCCCTAGTATGGTGATCTACCTTCAGTTGTTAGCGATCTATAGCCCATTTTTAGATTGTTTTGTCCCCTATGGTTAAAATGTTTTAGATTCAATTACTAGTTTTACATATATATATCTGTGATACTCTAGTTGCTTTACTGTCCTTCGATGACAGGTTTTATAATATATACATATTCCATTACAATGTAAAATGTTCTCGTCACGATATGGCTGAAATATTGCCGATGTGACGTTAAATATTAACTCACTCACTCACTCACTCACTAATTGCCAAGGAGGAGAAGTATTAGAAATCCGAACTGTCATTCATTGTAAGCTTGTTTATTCAATATATAATTTTATGTTGCTGGTTGGAAAGGGACTCACAAGACTTTTATCTCAGAAATTTCTAAACCTTAACATGACATTATGGAATGAATGAACATTTCAATGTATCAATGAAGAATGAATAAATGTTCAGTCTACAACATCTGAACTACAGATCTATGTCTACGAGTGACGGACAAAGAAAATCGTTTTTGAATCGGTTCACACACAATCAGTAAGGTCGCCTGTATTGACGATCATCCTCGGTCACCAAGCTAATCATGTGGGCACTGTTGGTAAACCATCACAGATAAGATACTGTTCTAAACTTGGTGTGTTCCAAGTAAGTGAGTGAGAACAATCACTATTGTTATGATATCTAGTGACAAGTTTCTTGCAATACCAAACATCACGGCAGATCTTTGGGCCGTTCTAGGCATTTTCCGGTCTCAAGCCACTGTTTCATATCAGTGTAATGTTTTCTTGTAATATTACCATGTAACTTGGCACACAACTGACACCTCCAGTCAAAGTCCGTCCGTAATGTATCAATGTATTCATATTTGTGCTTTTTTGCAAGAATATCCCCCATAGCTGTCTCATTTCTCTCCAAATATTTGATATAGTTCGCCAAACTCTTGGGACTGTCAAATGATGCCGTGTTGATGAAGGTTCCTTCTGGCAGAAGACGTGCATAGTCAGCGCCTCCACGAACGATGGGAATAGCTGAAGTCCTGAACGTGTTGAAGAACTTTTCTGTGATGTAATCTTTACACAGGGAGTTTTCAAACGCAAGATAAAACCTATACGTGGTGTTTAACATGCCAAGACATTTGACGAACCTTTTTTTCGGGCAGTCATAACTCTTGTTATATCTGCAGGAACCATAAATGTCGACATCAATATGTTTTCGCAGTTCTTGAACATACACTTCCCTCTTTGACGGTGTACCACAGTGACTAACAAACCAAGCTATTGATCGGCTTTTTTTCCTTAGAACATCACTTATATTCACAGTGCCTCCTGTAAACAAGATCCTATTGTAAGGATAGGGTATATCCGAGTCCAGGCGGTACGTCATTGTCCAGTTAAAACGTCCATTCCAATCCGAACGGAAAATCGTGTTTGAAAAATAGTGAAGAGGTGATTCCCATCCATCCATAATCCACACTTGGTCCATGTTGTTGTTTGGGTGTTTTGAAGCAGGCAAACGCACACCATGGACAATAACAGCCTCAGCCGATGAAATGAGTGCCTCTTTCGTACTTATTTCACACGAACGAACATTACAGTGGTCGAAGGATTTTGAAGGGTTGTCGCCACGTGGAAAGTTCATCCACACAATACGTTTTAATGTTCTGTTTGGTGAACCTGTTGACTTAATTTTCACACTCCGCCTATGAAGCACAAGGGGATATTTCTTAGAGACTTCCAAGAGGAATACTTGTTTCAGGCTAGGTGTTGTTGATATGAAACCTTCCACTACAAACACATTCAATGATTGATTCAATGTCAAATAGACAGCTACAGTAGCCACAGTTGTCCCCAGGAATATAACGAAACATCCTTTGTTAGTGCAGGTCATTGCGACTGAAGCTGAAACAAAAATGGTGCATTTTGACATAATGTCGCATGCTAGATTAATACTTTTCATTCAAGACAGTCTGTCTCTCTGTCTCTCTGTCTCTGTCTGTCTGTCTGTCTGTCTGTCTGTCTGTCTGTCTGTCTGTCTGTCTGTCTGTCTGTCTGTCTGTCTGTCTCTCTGTCTCTCTCTCTCTCTCTCTCTCTCTCTCTCTCTCTCTCTCTCTCTCTCTCTCTCTCTCTCTCTCTCTCTCTCTCTCTCTCTCTCTCTCTCTCTCTCTCTCTCTCTCTCTCACACACACACACACACACACATATGTAATACCACGTAAAAATAACATCAGCAAATGAACACTACCTTGAAGAACAATAATCCAAGACGGTTTCCACCAGTAAAATATAACCTTCGTCACACCCTCGTCCTTTACGTTGTGGGAGCATCTGCACTATGAATAACTCTATTCTAAGTCCCTCTCTCGTCAACAGGTTTTTATCATTGGGTCGTCAACCATATCGGAACAGGACTTGTTCCAGGTGGTTGGTTTCAGCGAGAATACAAATATGTCAGGCTCAGGAAAGATATTTATGTTGTTCTTTGCATAAACAGCAACATCCATGTCACTGTTTGTGATTTCTCCACAACATGTAACCACACATTTGGATTGTTTTTTGCTTTCAATACAAAGAAGCCAGGATTGTATAATATACCTGCACAAACCGATATAGCTGAGGGGTAGCGATATAGAGATAGGTACATGCACATACTTTCTAAATGTATTTAAACAATGTAACAAATGTAATGGGAGTAAATCAGGTGAAGTCTTTCACCAAGTCTGCCCAGAGCGTAGACGCTTTCTGAGAAACCACTGCATCGTGTGCACAAGCAATGTGTGGAACATAATAGCAATCCCACCGACTCCTTCGCCTGGATGAAGTCGGCTGGTGTTACATGTGAAACTGAGGGCTTCCTTTTTGCTGCACAGGACCAGTCACTTCACACTCGCAATCGCCTAAATGTGATTCTTAAAGCAAACATGAAATGTCGACTTTGCAATGTGTATACAGAGACTGTCTAACGCCTTGTCAGTGGATGCCCTTCCTTGGCACAAACAGCACGTGTTATGGTCTCCGCCATGCCTGTGGCTTTGACTCTGAGGTCCAGCCATGGTACGACCCTGAACATGTCCAGATCCTCTTGGAAAATGGCAGCTTTAAACTTCATTGGAATATGCCCATATACAACCTCACAGGAATTCCAGCCAACAAACCTGAATTTATTCATATCATTGGATTTTCTGCCCCTTTTTCACAGCAATGTGATTGGCAAGATTCAGGAAAATCATGCTAAATGTGCGGACCTCGCTTTTGAAATGTCTCGCTTGCATCCCAAGTACACGGTCGTCAGGCTCCCCATTGTTCTCGGTGCCCTTTGATTTGGTACCTCCTGATCTGTTGGCGCAGATCAGGAGACTGCCCGGGTTCTCCACCGGGAGCACGGCCCTTCTGACACTCTGGATAGTGCAGAAGGCTGCAGTGTTGGGGAGCCTTCATAGTCTCCGGAAAGTTCTTGGTGGGTTCGACTAGGCAGCGTTTCCTAGGAGAAGTCCCATTCGCTGTCTGGGCTGCGTGTAGAGGGGGCGAGGGCCCTGAGCTGATGATGAGCTTTACCAGCCTGACAGTGCCAGGATCACCTGAACCCTCTCTGCTGCATTTTCATCTTTAATCTGTAAAATATAATACTATTTATGCACAGTATGGCCTTAAAGCCACAACAAAAACACAAATTTTGGCTTGGTTAACCCATTTCCCCGAGTACAGGAAGTTGAACACATCAACCTCAGTTCCGCACTAATGTCACCTACTTGAAAATATGAGTCTCTGCACACATTCAGCTTTCAGTAATTGTGGTAAAAAAGACAGCACTAAATATTAAACAATATGGTCAGTTATAATCACTGTATGGATGTACATATACAAACCTAAAATCTCACAAGAGCATCTTATCACAGCTGTCACAAGATTCTGTCTGCACTGAAGACCCTACGAAAAGTGTTTGTTAAATTACGGATCTGATTTGGTGTAATGTAACCTCAATCACTTAATTAGGGGCATATAAGTTTCAGTCACCCCTTTTCACTTGCACGAATAAATAGTGCCATTCTTTCTCCAACCACAATATGTGTTTTGTCGTTTATAGTGCCGTGATTTTGCTGGATTATTTCTAAAATCGGCATTTCACTCACTCACTCACAAATATAGTGGTCCCATAGTGATGAAAATACGGGGGTATATTAATTTAAGTCCTAATGTGTTTGACTTGATGTATCTAAGTATAAATATGTCTGGATGTATTTTTGTCTACATGCTCGACAGTAATTTCTTCACATTCTATGTTAAAATTTTCTTTGATATGTTGAAATTTACAGTGTCTATAAAGTTATTCCGTTTGTCGTAACTGCGTTCGGGCATCAGTAGACACTACTAGCTAACTACTAATTATGACCGTTCTATATTGTCGGTGTAGATGTTAGCTCAACACTCGCATTGTCCGTTGAGGGATGTTACGTCCGGGAGTGAGGACGACCGTGGCCAGTAGCTGTCTACATCACATCCATGTACAGCCACTCATATACTTATAGGATAAAGTAAATGTGCATAACTTAAAATTGCATTGGTCTTCAGCAACCAATGTTTGTCGTAAGAGGCGACTAAAAGGATCGGATGGTTAAGCTTAGCCTAGCTTAGCTTGCCTTAGCTTGCCTTGCCTTGCCTTGCCTTGCCTTGCCTTGCCTTGCCTTGCCTTGCCTTGCCTTGCCTTGCCTTGCCTTGCCTTGCCTTGCCTTGCCTTGCCTTGCCTTGCCTTGCCTTGGATATACAACTTCTTTTATTCTGTGGAGGCGACGTTTTGACATAGATTCGAATGTCGTTGTCAAGCTTGTGTTGCGCTTTGTTTTGTTATGTATTCTGTTATGTGTTTTGTTTTGTTATGTGGTGTGGGGTGTTGTGATGTGCTTTGATTTGTTTTCCTTTGTTCTGTTTATGTGTGTGCGCGCGCGCGCGTGTGGGATGGGGGGTAAATTCCGTGTAGCGAGATATGCACACAGTGAGCGTATAACTTGGACACGATCTCACGTTGACAACACAGTATACTGTTTCATTACAGGAAAACAGTTTCCTCGTCATGTTAGATCAACACAGGCAAGTTGATGGTAATTTGACAAAAACGGTTTCAATTCATCGCCTGTTTTACTCCTTATGTCCTGTTCGTGACTATCATGCAATTACAGGCTCTACACACTGAATTAAGTGAACACGGTATTGCAAGGTAAATGTGAGTCTTAGTGTTGTCAGGCCATATACAGTTATCTCCCTTGATTTACTCGTTGGGAACCCCGTGAGATAAGCGCTGTAGACCATTCAGGGTCTCCCTTTTATTGTACTTAATTCCTATATCATATATATATCATGTCCTACGTGTCACTTTATTGTGCAATTTGGGTTCTGAAGCTAACTTTTGGGGATAAACATCAGACATTCATTCCAACCTTAAGCCCGGTATGTTGGACATACAAATGAGAGAGTGAGTTTAGTTTTACTCCGTTTTAGCGGTATTCCAGCAATATTACGGCAGGGGGACTCCAGAAATGGGCTTAACACATTGCACCCAATTTGGGAGTCGAACCCGGGTCTTCGGCGTGACGAGTGAACGCATTACTCCCACGCCTCGGGACATGCAGATGATATGAAAAGAAACATACAAGTACCTACTCATTTGTTCCCCTCTTGTATGTTCTGTCTGCTCAGATTGCTCCACCTACACTCAATTCTGATGATGATGACTTGTTTAAAAGAGGTACGGGCGGTGGGGTAGCCTATTATTTCAAGCGTTCGCTCTTCACACCGAAGATCCGGGTTTGATTCCCTACATGGGTAGAGTGTGTGAAGCCAATGTCTGGTGTCCACTGCTGTGATATTGCTGGAATATTGCTAAAAGCGGCGTAAAACTAAACTCACTCACTCAAAAGAGGTAGCTCAGGTGACGATCACCTGTTGTCAGCGACTGTCCGATTTTCAGTACCCATGTCACTGCTTAAGCATACAGGAGTGAGTGGGTTAATATTTAACGTCACATCGGCAATATCTCAGCCATATCGTGACGAAAACAATATTTTATACAATAAACAGTGAAAACATTTTGAAGATTAAGATCTGTCGACGATGGACAGTAAACATACTAGAGAATCACAGATATGAAAATAAAACTAGCGAGCAAAGCTAAAACATTCCAATTAAAGAAGACAATACAGTATAGAACACGGGCTATAGATCGCCAACAACTGAAGGTAGATCACCATACTAGGAACCATCTGGACTTACATTACTTTTGCTACCTGCATGGACCCTAGCTGGATTTACACCATCCCTTCAGCCGCTGGCGATTGTACGAAACTTTAGCCGGCAGTTACAAGAACAAAGATACTTCGTTTAAAATATGGTAAATTTACATTTTACTTTGAAAGTTTTGGGAGTTACGTACCGTCTCAGGACAATAATTTTACAGTACTTTAACCCGCTTTGAGGGTACAGTCACTAACAATCTAAGTTACTAATCTAAATTACCAATTTTTATTTACAAAACACATTAAGCAGAATTCATCAAATAAATCAATTTCTTTAAAAAAAACAAAAATTAGATGCTGACACTGGGGATACAGGGGTGGTATACTCCAGAGACAACGACACAAATAGCTGCATTTGTCTACCAATTTCATGCCCGACTGGTACGGCCCAAGACAAGAAAGTAGAGACATACATCATTTGGAGGTCATTATCACCAGATTGGCCCATGAACCACCGCCTTCTGGCATAGAACTCTGAGCAAACATATATCAAATAATTTCAAATACAAACATTCAGTGCAAAAAATGTACAATAATTGCATAAGAATGTTGTCCATGCACAGGGCATAGCGTGACCAGCCGATTGATAGAATCGGGCCAGTTCAGCCACCCGTCTAGGTGAAGTAAGGGCCGAAGTGGTGTGTTGGGCAAAAGGAACACGGGTCCAGGCTCCCAGTGCCCTCAACCACCAGACTCCCGTCCTCCACCGACACAGGGGCGCAACCCACGGCAAACGGGTTGGTGGACCAAATATACCCCCGGGTCCACACGGAGGGTTGACGAGCGCTTAGCGTTACCCAGCACCCACCACGAGGAGGTGGCTCTTCACGGGTGCCTAAGCATACAGGAAATCCAAGAGCATCTATAATTATATAGACTTCATGTAATATCCGTCGATAACCATTGAATCACTGTTCGTTTTAGCAACTCCCAGTCAGATAATTTTGCGAGAATGAGTGAGTGAGTTAATATTCTTCACATCGGCAATATATCAGCCATATCGTGACGAAAACAATTTATACAATAAAAATGAAAACATTGTCAAGAGTTGACGATGGTCAGTACAGATACTAGAGAATCACAGATAT